CTTCTTGGAAAAATTATCCTTGGGAAACATACTTCATAGCTGTTTTGAGGAGAGCTGTTTGCCGAACTCTCATTCAAAAGAACACAAAGGGATTTTGTTTATAATTCATCAACTCTTGGTGTTTCCCAGGCCTGGTGAGAGCTCTAGGGAGGTTGTTCCCTGATCCTACCAGGCCTACAGGGAAGGCACCCTTTCTGGTGCCTTCCTGAAAACCCACTGGGGCAGGGTGGCGGCCAACTGTCCTAATTTACCCATGACTGCATAGAAAGGCCTTCACTGGGGGAATCCCCTCAGTCTTGGGAAAGCCTGGCCTGTCACTCTTAGGGCCTGGGGCCACCCTTCTAGGCTGGGGCTGGTATTTGGAGAGCAGGCAAGAGGCTTTGGGCCTTGGCACATTAACCTTTGCACAGCCTCCCTTGCTTCTTTTCTTTTGCTGGCAAGTGGGGGTGCTGGATTCACTGAAAATCACCTGAGAAAACCCAGGGAATTTTGTGCACCCAGCCCTTGGCCAAGCATCTAGGCAGGGAAAATTCGAGCTATTGTGATAATTTATTATGATGACTAAGATCATTATCAAGATTGTTATTATTAGTCACCCCATCTAGGATTTCCTGCTGGTTCCTAAGGCCCACCTAATCCTCTGTTGTCTGCAGCCAATCCTAGGGCCTCATCTACAATGACTATTGAAGAATCTGGCACCTTCAGCTTCCTGCTGCTGCACTTTCAGCAGTGACAAAAGAGAAACTGGCAGGAAGATCACAGCCAGCCCCTAGACCCAGTGCTGGCTTTTTTTCTTTTTTTTTGAGAGCGAGCCTTAAGCTATCCCCCTCGGTAGAGTGCTATGACATCACAGCTCACAGCAACCTCCAACTCCTGGGCTCAAGCAGGTCTCCTGCCTTAGCCTCCCAAGTAGCTGGAACCACAGGCGCCTGCCACAATGCCTGGCTATTTTTGTTTTTGGTTGCAGCCATCATTGTTGTTTGGCAGGCCCAGACTGGATTTGAACCCACCACCTTAAGTGTATGTGGCTGGTGCCTTAGCCACTTGAGCCACAGGTGCTGAGCCTGCTGGCTTTTTTTTTTGAGAGAGAGAGTCTCAAACTGTTGCCCTGGGTTGAGTGCTGTGACATCACAGCTCACAGCAACCTCAAACTCTTGGGTGTAAGGGATTCTCTTACCTTAGCTTCCTGATATCATGTGTCTGTTCTCACTCAGACATAGTAAGACTCTGTCTCCAGGGGAAAAAAAAAAGTATGGCTCAGTGCCCGTAGTTCAGTGGTTAGGGCATCTACCACACACACTTAAGCCAGCGGGTGAGGGTTCCAATCGGCCCAGGCTTGCTAAATAAGGAAAACTGCAACAAAAAGATAGCACTGGGCATTGAGGCCGGCTACTTGGGAGGCTGAGGCAAGAGAATCCCATAAGTCCAAGAGTTTGAAGTTATTGTGAGCTGTGATGCTATAGCACTCTACCAAGGATGACAGAGACACTGTCTCACATAAATAAAAAAATAATCATTATTATTATTTTTAGAGACAGAGTCTCACTTTGTCACCCTTGGTAGAGTGCCATGGCATCACAGCTCACAGCAACCTCCAACTCCTGGGCTTAGGCGATTCTCTTGCCTCAGCCTCCCAAGCAGCTGGGACTACAGGTGCCCGCCACAATGCCCGGCTATTTTTTTGTTGCAGTTTGGCTGGGGCCAGGTTCAAAGCCTCCATCCTTGGTATATGGGGCTGGGTTCATACCTACCACCCTCAGTATATGGGGCCAGCGCCCTACCCACTGAGCCACAGGCATCGCCCTATAATTATTATTATTTTTTGTATGAAAGGTCTTTATTGGTGGGGGAGGGAGACTGCAGAGCAGCACCAAGGAGGAGAGAATAAGAGAAGAGAAAAGAGGAGAGAAAAGAGGGGAGAGAGATGAGGAGAGAGTGGAGAAGAGAAGAGAGAAAGGGAGAGCAGAGAAGAGAGGGGGAAGAAAGGAAGAAAAAGAGAGAAGGAGGAGAAACATACCCTTATATAGGGAAGTCTCAGAATGGTGCCGGGATGGTGGGATAACCAGTAAGGAGTTACTGCTTCGGTGGAAAGAGCCATTAGGGGCGGGCAGTGGGTAATTGGAACAGAGTGATGAGGTAAGCCACTCCCTGTGCTTGGGGAGGAGTTGTAACTTTAAGGGCAGGAAGGGACTTTGGGGGGAAGGGGCTTTCTAAGGCAATTATCTAACATTCCTCCCTTCTTGATACATAAAAAATAGGGGGTTGGCCTTGGGATATTGGACATTGACTTCTCACTTCCGTAATTTCTTAAGACTGGGAGGGGCACGTAGTTTTAGTTGGCCAACTAGAGGATGATTATGATTTTTTGTTTGGAGGATGTAAGTTTTTTCTTTTTCTTTCGTCCTTTTAGTGGTGATTGTTTAGAAATGGTGTTCAGGAAGGTCTTGTGGCCTGGAGTAGATGCAGCCATCATTGTTGTTTGGCAGGCCCAGACTGGAGTTGAACCCACCACCTTAAGTGTATGTGGCTGGTG